GAGGACCTGGACACCCAAAGTTCTTGAGGCTCAGCCCTTGCCTGAATTTGCTTACAATCTAGTGAGGGTTTTGTTTTGTTTTGTTTTTTTTAATGTATTTATTTATGAGTGAGAGAGAGCAGGGAAAGGAGCAGAGGGAGAGGGCGAAGTAGACTCTGTTGAGCACAGAGCCCGAGGCAGGGCTCCATCTTAGGACCCTAATATGACCTGAGCTGAAACCAAGAGTTGGACGCTTAATCAACTGAGCCACCCAGGCGCCCCTCAACTTCAAAAATTAGATAATAAGAAAGCTGTTGTTTAACTAGAGTGAGTGAGGAGTAACGTCACATCTATTCCCCATTTGACCTCTTTCCCTCAGACTACCTTTCCAAGCCCACAGGGATCACGGCTGCTTTATCTTCCAAATATGTCTAAAACCCTATGCAAGGTAAACCAATAAAGCTTTCAGAAAGAGTAAAGAAATAAAATATCTTCAAGGCTTTGGAGTAAGTAAAGAGTTCTTAAACAGGACATGAACATGCTAACTGCAGATGGAAAAAAAATGGTAAATTCTATTAAAGTTAAAACTCTGTTCACAAAATCACATGATTGAGAGAGTAAAACTGCAGGCCACGGAGAAGAAAGTCTATAATTCATATACAAGACTCCTATCCAGAATATGTAAAGAACTCCTACATAGCAATAAGAAAAAGGCAGACAACCCTGAGAACAATGGGCACAGATTTGAACAGGAGATCACTAAAGGATATCCAAAATAAACATGGCAGGTTTTCCAAACGTGAGTCACCATGCAATGCAGAGTAAAACCACAGTGTGATATCACTACACCCCCAAATTAAGGAGGTGGTTAGGTAGTAGCAAACATGGACAAAGATGTGGAGCAACTGAACTTCTGTTCACTGGGGGGTGGTGGTGGGGGGGAGTGCAGGTTGGGCACAATCACTTTAGAAAACATCTGGCAGGATCTGGGAAGGCTGAGTGGAAGGGAACCCCACGCTGGGGAGCCCCAGTGCTAAGTATATACCCGAGAGAAACACATGATATGTTCTTCACATTACGTTTGTCATCACCAGATACTACAAGCAATCCAAATGTCCATCCACAGTAGGAACTGTGGAAATGATAGGATGATAGGAAATGTCCTATCCTACAGTGGGGACTAACTACAACTACGGACAACAGCAGCTGTAAATATCGCAAGCTTAGTATTGAGTGAAAGAAGCCGAACACTAAGAGTACACACCACATCATTCTGTGTATGTGACGTTCGAGAACAACCGAACCAATCTGTGGGGTTAGAATTCAGGAGTATTGATTCCCTTTGGCAGGGAGGGCCTGAAAAGTGGGGCCAAGGTAGCTTCTGGGGTTCTGGTAATATTCTGTTTCTTCATCTAGCTGGTGGTTATACTGGTATGTTTGTAGGAAAATTCATCAAGGCATCCTTCTCTGTATGAAAATTAAAAATTACATGATATATATTTATAAATATAAGTATAAATAAAATATATTTATAAATATAAATACACACACGTATAAAATAGGTAATGTAAATGTGTTTATATACACATAGATATATATACACACACACAAACATACACGCATATATATTCCATCCAAAATGTAACCACTTCTGACCCTCCTGTATGTTATCTCCATTCTAACGTGACTCCAATAGCTACTTACCCACTTCCTCTCTTGGAGTCTTTATCTGTAGCCAGAATAATAGTCTTTAAAACAGAGGCTGGGTAGTATCTGTCTTTGGCTCATAACCAGCAGTAACTACCCATGTCAATCAGAATAAAATCCTCAGAGGAGACATAGGTCCCTGACAGCCTGTATAACACAGCGTCACCACACAGGCCTGTCACGTTTATGTGTTTATCCTGCTTCATTTGTCTTTATAGTTCTTCTCACCAACTGACATACCATTGACTTGGTTCTCAGTTTATAACTGGCCTCTCTCCAACTAGAATGTGAGCTATATGAGAGCAGAGGCTTTAGCTTTCGGCATCATGTCCCTGATACCTAGAACAGTGCCTGGCATAAAGTAGGCAATGAATGAATGAATGAATGAATGAGACGATCACCAAAAAAATAGAGGAAATAGGGGCACCTGTGTGACTCAGTCAGTTAAGCATCTGCCTTCAGCTCAGGTCATGATCTCAGGGTCCTGGGATCGAGCCCCGCCGTCAGGCTCTCTGCTCAGTGGGGAGTCTGCTTCTCCCTCTGCTTCTCCCCTCCCCACCCCCGGCTCATGCTCGCTCTTTCTCTCCCTCTCTCTCAGATCAACAAATAAAATATTTTTTAAAAAGTATATAGGAAATAGGCAGAATGTATATGTTTAGGTTTCTTTTATAGGTTAAGAAACAAGAAAATGAAATTACTTGATTTAATTCCGGAGTACAGCTCAGACCTGTTTCTCTCTCTCCCTGTCCTTTGTCCCCCCCCCACCATCCACACATCACACACATCCATGCGACGTAATTACGTAACCTTGGCAGTTCCGAATTCAGTGAGGGTGACAACCAGGTAAAGATTCATTATCCTGGAATTCGGCATTTTTACCTAAGCCTTGTTTTGTGGATATATGGCCCTTTTGAATACATGATAGTAAAAAACCTATCATTTTTCTTGCCAAAAAATGTATGTGTTTGGAACCTAGGGATGCTCCCCTCAGCATTCTGCATAAGAACATTTTTCAAACAAAATAACACCATTTTGCTAGGCTCTACAATTCAAAACTTTTCAGGCCCTGATGATGAATTATTGTAGTAAGTGCGTATGTCCAGAAATTGAGATTGTTTGCATCAGAAGTCATACCTCCCTGTCCTCAGAGTGAACCGTGGGGCTCCTGGAGCAGGCGAGGGTGTTTATGGTTAATTTCTGTGTTTGGATAGGGACTGACCAGTTACCTTTTCACAGGGCCACCCAGTGGGGTGTGCCACTTGGCAGCTTGTCTAAAAACTGGTGAAATGTGTGCATGTTAGCAGGGGGAGGGGGAGGTCCAGTTTGGTTGTCAATCTGGTTGGCCCTTCAATTTGGGTTAAAAAAAAAGAGAGCGTTTTTGGCCCTTTCAGTTACCACATAGCTGATGACACAGTTTTGTTGCTTTGGTTTTTAATTGAAAAAATGAGAAACAGCGATAAGCCCCAAAGTCCACGGTATGTGCTCAGCTGCCAGTAAGAGTCTCCTTCCCCTCCTTCCTCTCAGAAAGCAGTGAGCATAAATAACATCAAGCCATAACTGTAACAGCAGATTAAATAATAAAATGAACCCCAAGAGACACTGAGTATAACAAGGCCAGTGTCAGATCCTTTGTTCATCAAGTAGTTCAATCTTTTAATAAGGCAGACAGTGATGGTTAGAGGGAATGATGATGCCTTTACTTCTGAGTGAGTGCAAAATAGGCATTCCTGTCGGAGGCGAAAGCAATGCCAAATTTCACTTTGAAGCTCAGAATTACAGCCCAGGAGGTGAGAGCATGGAGTAATGAGGATATATACTTGACTCCAGTACAGGAGTTCTGATTTCCTTGGCCGCAGGACTTGGAAGCTGTGTAACCCAGGGCCGGTTCATTAACCTCTCTGAATATCGGTTTCCTAGGGGTGTAAAATGAGGATGGCAAAACCACGTAATTTGCAGGGCTTTTGTGAAGATCCAAGGAGGTCTTAGTTCTAAAAATATTTTGTAGCCAAGAATACGCTATACGATAATGTATGGGATGATTAGTGTGCTTAAATAATTCATTGAATAACCTTCACACCTTCTCCCTAGCCCCTAAGGCCTCTCCCCGAAGGTTTAGCTGAACTACTGCCCAACCCCGAGGTCTGCCTGTCCCTCCTGTTGTAGATTAGGACAGTTTTCAATAATTACACGAAAAAGTTGTATATGTTTCCTATCTGAACCAGCCTGCCTAAGCCTTCAGAATAGAACTGTGGCCTTCTCTGAAACCCACATTATTAATGCTGTGCATATATGAACAAGCAATTCCCTGACACCCTTGAGAGGAGGAAGATAGATAGAGATTGAAAAGTGAGGAAAATCTCCTTCTTCGCCATCCCGGATGGAACAAATATTTTCTTCTCTGTAATAGAAAAAGTGGCTGTTTGGTTAACACATATCCTATGCCAAGCACTGTGCTACACATTATTTGGTGTGATCCTCACAACATCCTGTACTATCATTGCTGCTTATAGGACAAGAAGACTATAGACTACTTTAGAATAAGTAACTTGACCAATGTCACATGGTGGAGTCAGAATTTGAACCCAAACCTGCCTAATTCCTTTCCCGGTCTTTCTCCATTTGGGGATTGATGATTTACCTCCTATATTTTGACTGACTTTGTGTGTCTGTGTTTGCCTTTCTGTTCCTTTATGCTTTCATTTTTTGGTATTCGTGTAATGAGGAGGGTAGAGGCTCAGGACAGAGATGCCTAAGGTGTGGTCGCCATGTTTAAGGAATTGTTGTAATCCACTGCAAGACAGATGACAGACAAAAAAAACCTATATGACATAGAAGAATTTAAGTGTTCATAAGGGATGGTGCACTAGCCTCCTCGCCTGGAATGTGCGAGTAATACCCTACTTTATTCAGCTGTTGTTAGGATAGAGTGAAATGCCTTTATCAAGTGTTTGGCAAGGACCCTGACTCCTAGTAAGTGCTCAGTATGTGGACCCTATAGTGTTGCCAGATAGTCCCCGGATAATAACTGGGATCCAAAGCTGGAAAAGCAACCTGGTGCCAGATTTTGAGAGCCTTGAATGCCAGTCTAAAGAGTTTGGACCTTCAGCTTGGTTAAAAACAGTTGTGCCAAGGTCAGTAATCATGGCGAAAAGAAATTAGAGCTGATGTTTTGCACTACCTTTCAAAATTCATCGTGAGTGAGACGGAGTTAAGGGGCACAGTTGGAACTGGTTTAGAGGACTTTTTTATATTTGATGCACTAAAAGGAAAGATGATATTTTCAAGTTTAATGCCCTGTATTTTTTCTTCCACAGTAATTAGCAAATGCCAAAGGCAGCAACTGGAGTCTGTGAGCTACTCCTCTCGCTACGCTCTGGGCCTCTTTTATGAAGCTGGCACGAAGATTGATGTCCCTTGGGCTGGGCAGTACATCACCAGTAATCCCTGCATACGCTTCATCTCCATTGATAATAAGAAACGCAATATAGGTCAGTACCCCCATTATTTCCCTTAAATACAGTAACAATGGTGGGTGTAGATCATGAAAAGTGCTGTTTAATTGAGTGTTGCCATTCTGAACAGAGCAAGCATTTAACTCCAAACCACAGGGGATAAAATTTAATGTCACATTTGGCCAATAATAAAATACACAGCGAAACCAGCAAAGTTTTTCAGAAAATCATTCACCACATGGTTTGTATTACTGAGTTCATGAAAATAGTGTCAGAAGTTTTAAGATTTCAAAATGGCCCAAGTTCTATTGCTTTACTATGGGTCCATCTATATGCAGAAGAATCTCTCCTCCTTTGTGGCTTGGTGGAGTTGTTTTCTGTTTGTTTGGCTTTGTTTCTAAAATTTGCTAAGTGCTACTCTTTCCACTTCCCAAGCTAGAAATAAAAAGCGAATTTTACTATGTTATGAAAATCCTTCACTTCAATATCTCATTTATTTGATTCTCATCTGGAAGACTACATAAAATTACTTTGTGTACAATATGACGAAAATGATAGGTAAATTGTTTCGTAAGAGCTTCACTAGAATGGGCTAACATCTACACTCCACCCTTTTTGTTGAAGGTAGTTATTAAAATTAGGTTGGAATTGCAAGAATCAACATAACGCTCACCTCAGGAATAAAGGAGAAAGTGTCTTCTTCTTCGCAGGATTAGAACGATCCCTAAGATAACTGCTTTTTGAAGAATAAGCTCTAATGATCGGAAACAACTGAATTCTTGCAGGGAATTGTCATTTCAGTTCGTTATGGTGTTTTATGTTGCAGTGATGGTTTCACCAAGCCATTAGTTAGAAGTCTTGCTTGATAAAATCACCAACTAATGTCTCTTGGCTTGGCAGAACTTTATAATGATAGAACTGGGCTGGAGTATGGTTTTTATATCAGAGTACTTGATCTTAGAAAAATGTTTCTTTTATAACTTAAAACTCCCTCAGGGCTAGACTATTTATGTTAACATGATACCACATATATGTACAATCAGCAGTTCATGAAGTGCCCTGCAACAACAATGGACTAACCATTTTTAACTCTACAACTTCTTTGTTCTGAGAGAAGAGTAGCCCTTGATCTTCTCATGTTATATGTCATGAATTGGACATTATCCTTTGTGTCCTCCTTCATAAGGTATGATATCTGTTAGGGTGTATTCAGTAATATGTAACAGCAAAACCAATTTAAAGTTGTTTAAAAAACATAAGGGTGTGAGTTATGTTATATTATCATTTGTTATATTATCTGCTGTGGACTGAATTGTATCCCTCCTAAATTCATGTGTTGAAGCCCTAATCTCCAGTGTGATTACATTTGGAGATAAGGCTTTTAGTATATAATGAAGGTTAAGTGAGGTCATAAGGGTGGGATCCTAATCCAGGATGATTGGCGGCCTTACAAAATGAGGAAGAGAGAGTTCTCTCTCCTCGTGCACATACTAGGGGAAGGTCGAATGAGGACGGTGAGAAGGTGGGAAGGTAGGCTCTCTGCAAGCCAGGAAGGGAGGCTTTAACAGAAACCCAATCGCCTGGCACCTTGATCTTGAGTTTCCCAGCCTCTGGAGCAAAGAGAAATACATTTCTGTTGTTTAAGCCATGTGGTCTATGGCATTTTGTTATTCCGGTCCAAGCTGACTGACACATTATCGAAGAGGAAGAAGTTGGGGAGACATCAGGAAGGATCAATTCGAGACCTGAGCAATATCTTCAAGGACCTAGAATTATCCTTCTCTGCTCTCTTCACTCTTGAGGCAGAGACCTTCTTTCTCGGCGGTTGGTGCAAGATGGCACTAACCATTGGAATCACATCCAGACCCAACAATATGCTCAGGAAGAAGAGGGACCGTTCTGTTTCTGTTTCTTTCTAAGAATCAAGGAATTCTTTCCAGAGCCCCCTCAACTGACATCATCTTGTATGTCATAGGTCAGAATTCGGTTACTCGACCAGTCTGAAAGTCATCATTCACCGGCAGGGGGGATGGGACTGCCACGATGAACTAGACGGATCAAGATTTACTCCTGGAATTGCTGTTAGGATCATCTTCCTTGAGTCATATGAGGGGCAGATACCTGAATAAAATAGGGTTTTGTTCAGAGGAAAGAAGGGAGTAGCAGATGCTAGGTTGGCAATACATAACGCCCGTCGTGAATTTTCAAGTCGAGTCACATCGTAGACGGGAGGTAAATTTCTAAAGTTGACACATAAAGAGAAGAACCATGTAGATTCAGAATTATCTTTGAAAATCACTTAAATCTACATGACATTTTGGAGAGAGAAATACCTTTCAGTAAATTCAGGATAGCCATCGTTCCAACATCCCATAGATTTCAGTTTCTTTGGGTAAGGCCAGATGAAATAGTTGGCTTGCATTTATAGGACAGAGTGATATTTTCTACTGTGAAAGGCGCACGGAAAGAAAGAAATAGCAGTCGTAGCTCCTAACAGATTAAATCGCTGTACGAACGGAGTGGGGCGGTGAGTGACAGCACCCAGAGTACAATGCAGTAGCAATTTATTAAAGAGGTACGCAACTTTGAAAGAGCGCAAGATAAACATATTAATAAATTCTCACATGATCGGCAGCATCTGAAGTAAAAGAAATTAAAAAAAAATTTTTTTTGTATTAACAACCACAGAGTTTTAAAGCGGGAAGGCTAGGTAGATTGGAAACCCTGGTTTGCTACAGCAGGGCCTCTTCAGACAGCAACGAAATGCTTGCCTTTCTTTGCCAGTTTTATGGAAAGTTAATCTTGGATTATGCGAGTTTTAAATTATGGGAGGCCTCCAGTAATGGCATCCCCTAACATAAAATCTAACTGCCTTGCATTTAAACCTTTTTTTTTTCTCACTATCTGGGGCCAGGGTGCTATGTGTGTCTAGTCGAATTCATACAATACAAATGTCCACATAGAATAACTCTGCTGTATTTTATTGGCGCTGATACTTAAGTAGACCAGTAAGACTTGTCTCTTTATGTTGCTAACACTACCCCACACCCACCCTGTCCTTGGAGTGTCTGATTGAATCTAGAATTAATATTGTAAATACACACAGTCAAGTAATGAAGGGGAGCGTTTTTGTGAAGTCGAGGTAAGGCAGCAGCAAGAAAAAAGTGGCAGGGTTGAGTCCACAAAATGCAGTCTGTTGTGAAGTCTTGAAGAGAGCCGGAGGATGAAGGATTCGTGGGCCAGACCAGACAAAGGTCAAGGAGTAGTCATTTGTCAGATGTCGGGAATAGGCAATTCATGCAGAAAGCCACAGTGAGAGCCCAGATCTCCTTAGGCAGAGGGGCTAAATTCCAAGACATGTTAGACCCAGCTTCAGGTACCTATAGTTAAGGGTGGGAGCCACCGTACTTAGGTTTGTGTTTCCCAAAACGCGTTCAATGGAACATGAGTTCCTTGATATGCTCTTTGGGAAGGGGTCTGTGATTACACACATTTGCAAAATGCTACCAACTTTATCTCGAATTTAGAGAGTTTCAGGTCATATTGCTCTATTAGAAGGCATTCCTATTTTTAAAAAGCCACCTTCTCACTTCATGTAATCTAAAATTTCCCAAATGTATTTGACCAGGGGTATTTTATTTGAGTGCCATACCTACTAATATCCAACAGAAATGGTGCCCCTGAACACCTTGGGAAACCCTGACTTGACATCACCGTTTGTGCCTCCGACCTGCAAGGGAATCGTAGGCCAGTGAAGGGGGGTGGCAAAGGCTAGTCTGGAAGCCGTCAATAGAAAAATACTGATTTTTTTTTTTAGAGATGGAAGAAGCTTGAAGCTACCCTGGAACCCACCAAGAGTTGCCTCATTAGAACAAAAGGTAACTTCTGGGGCGCCTGGGTGGCTCAGGCAGTTAAGCAGCTGCCTTCGGCTCAGGTCATGATCCAAGGGTCCTGGGATGGAGCCCCGCATTGGGCTCCCTGCTCGGCGGGGAGTCTGCTTCTCCCTCTCCCACTCCCCCTGCTTGTGTTCCCTCTCCACAGTCTCTCTCTCTGTCAAATAAATAAATAAAGTCTTTAAAAAGAAAAAAAAGATAACTTCTATCCCTCAAGAAATTCCAAGGGATTTAGGAGCTCTGTGTTAGGAACCAGGATCAAAGACCAACTATTTGAACAAAAGATGTTTTTCATGCTCTTATCACTTGGGAAATTACAAAGATTTTAGGAGCTCTGCGCCAGGAGCCAAGGGGAGAGACTAATATATATATATATATATATATATATATATGTTCTATTATTTCACATCTCCCAAGAAGATCCCAAGAGATCCCTCTCAAGATCTTATATTTGGAATTAGCCTGGCCAGGAGTAACTTCTTAGAATCAACTCAGTTCTACCTCTTAATAGCTGTTTGATTTTGGATAAATTACTTAAACTATCTGTTTACTGATCAGTATGTTGAGGAAAACAATACCAACCCCAAAGATTTGGGGATGAAATGGCTTTAACATATAAAAGGAGTTTCATATAGCACTTAGCAAGTAATAAGTCAGTATCTATAGCACCTATTATTACAACTAATAATGCCACTCTTGCATTTGGATATTTTATTTCCCAAAGCAAAGGGCATAAATATAAAAGCCTCCCTTTGGTGAATGCAGCCCTCTGATACCAGTGCAGACAGGAGGCTGGGTGGCCTTAATAAGTAAGATATATAAGTTACCCTGAAAATGGTTGGTCACAATTTTAGCATCCTTCCCTGTTCACCATCAGGAAGAGTATTAACGATAGTAAAATAGCCAAGAGGCAGCAATCTGAGGAGATTAGTATAATCTGCAATTCTAAAAATGTCGATGGCCAATGACTATAATTACACGGCTTTCGATAACTCATCAAAGGAATCCATTCAATTCATCCCCAAAGAAAACAAACAAATGAACAAACTTTTTCATCACATGGAATTTACACCTGCCAGGACTTTACTGTTAGGGATCCTTGAGTAACAAACACTAGTCTAATGTGTATTGCCTTTAACAGCT